GCAATGATCCGGAAAACACCATTAAATTCCAAATGTAACTGATCGTAAAAAAATAAAATAAAAATGCAATGACAATAAAGAAAACGGCAAGTAATTGTTTATCTAAATTATGATAATACTGTGTTGTATGCATTAGGTTTCATTATTTTTTTTCTCAGATTTTTGGTATATTTTCAACAAATTTTTGAAAGTTTCATCATAAATCCATACGGTTCTTTCTCAACGATTGGCTGCAGTAGCAGTAAAATGAGGCAATATTCAAGGCCTCGTTCATAAAAGCAACCTTTGACTTTTTCTGTTCTTTCAGGAAATTTTCTTTGAAAAGAGGTGTTCAGAGTCTAGTGCACCTACAGTTTTCTCACCCTTAAGAAAAAGTTTTTTTTCTGACTTACTAAAGGGTTGAGATCACTGATATCACTCTGCTCCAGAGTAACTTTGAGTCTGTTTATATGTTTGTTGGAACAGAGAGGTCAGATAAGAACAGACTCTTCAGCTCATCAGCCAGAAATTCTGTCTGTCAGACATTCAAGCTGCATGTTGGGGTTCTGCTGCGAGTCCAGCAGTCAGACAGAACGCAGACCTTCAACAGATCATGTGCTGTTAGTTGGCAAACCAACTGGAACCTTATTTAGCTCCTCTGGACTGACTGAGAAACCTCAGCTGTGGGCCGATAGAGGATGAAAGGCAACAATTACCAACTACTGCGTATTTCTCAAGGCTCTTTTAAAAGTTTGTAACGTTTTTGTTTTTAATTGCTACACAAGAAAACTGCAGCTGCATTTCTGTAGAAGCCCATGGTGGAAGTAATGTGACTTTTGCATAAACTGAACTTATAGTGTATACTTGTACTGTGTTGCAATGACCTTTCTAGTGGGTTGTCTTTAGTTCTATTATTGTATGGGATCATTATTATAATAAATGATATTATCTGCATACTTCTCAAGCCTTGTGTAACTGACCTGTTGTTTAGGATCGGTTTGCAAAAGCTCAGTTGAGTTCAGTTGACAGTAATTTGCAAAAATAAAAAAATAATAAAAAACAATACTGTAGTTTTAGGGCTGATGTTGAAAGTGACTTCCAGAGTAGAAAAAAATCCAATAAAGATATATATCGGCCCGTATCATGTATATATAAATAAAAGATATACAATACATGTTGGACTTTATCAAGTTTCCAGTGTTGTATTTCACAAACTAATTATCAGCTGTTCAAGCAGACACCAGCTGACTCCGCACCACCTGCTGCTCTGCTACAGGTGCTGCAGACAGTGCTGACAGCCTATAAAGAACTGAGTCTGGGCTGCTCTGCTGGACAAAGTGCCTAAAGTATATTTTTCTGCATTATGTTCTGCAAAACACTGCATATAGAACAACACATATACACCAACACTTATACATCAGTAAAAGGATAATATCAGCCAAATGACATATTGGATTTTTGCATCTAAAAACTTAAGATTCAGGTCTGATTAATGAAGGTGATGATCCAAGTTGTAACTGTGATAATCCAGCAGCTTTTCATTGAGTGAAGGCAGGTTTACTGTGATGAGATTAAACCGAGCTCAATCTCAGATTAATCTTATTAAAAGGTGCCACATGCCGCCTCGACTAACTCAAGGCACAACATTTTACCAACATGTGGCCACAGAAACAAACTCTTCTTATGCGAAACAAGGGAGTCCACATGCTGCCTGTTGTGTTGACTGAATTAACAAGAAAAACTGATCATGTTCAGATGCGGAACTCGGATAAATGACATGTAAAACAGCTCTGCAGCAGGCTACACCCAGAGGAACCGTTACCAGCAGCAGGACCCCACCGTGGGCTTCTCTGCACCTGCTGCTCCAAACAAACCACACGATCAGAAAACTTTACACCTGAGACAAACCCACAAAGTTTTTCTTACCGCTTCAGTGGTGCAAACTTTCCCCAAAAAGTCCAAATTAGTCTCTTTTTTGGCGACCAGTTGCAGACTGTTGAGCGGCTCAGTCAGCGTGACTCTGAAACAAGCCGGTGTCCGAGAATCAGTCCGATATCAGGCAGAAAATCAGCATGAAAAACCCGATTTACTTTTCACAAATAAACCAAGTGAACCAGCGAAGGATGTGATCCAAAGAAGGTCCTGCGCCTGTTCACTAAACTTGTGCAGCTTTTTCTGCTTCCTTAGCAGGAGCCAGTGAGCCGCTGATTGAAACAAAGCTGCTGAGCGGAGCTACGTCAAGGTGGACGACACACGAAGGTACGTCCGGTCCGAGGGATTTCAACTTAAACTGCATTATTACATTTTATGTCAAACATTATTTACTTTCTATTTTAGGGGTCTGTTTTCATCTCAGTACATATACTAAGCTGTATTTACAGAAATATCATATGTCAGTAAAGAAAAAAAGCTTTTCACTTTATTTGTGTGTCAATATTGTTCATAAACTTTGCTGTTGCACAGAGAATAAACCTGGTAGTTTGTAATCATGAAAATGCAATTATTCGCACATTTTCAAACCAAAAAAACATAAAGACCAACCCTACCCAAGGTCTGAAATATTTCCACTCCAAGTACAATCACTTTTTAATTTGTCTGAAAAGTACAATACAAATATTGCCTGATTGATTCATTGATTTATTGGCTCTGTAATGTCCATGTAGTACTGAAATTAAAGGGCAATAAGTTTTGCTTGCCTCAGCTCTCTACAGTTGAAGGTAAGATGTTTTATTCTGCCTGATAAAACAAGTTACATTATTGATCACATAATTACAAATGACGATGCTCAAAACAACTTGTCACCAATTACTTAAACAACCCTCCACTGAAATCCATGTTCACTGTACTTATTTTTGCATTATTTCTTCATGTATTTTTTTCTTCTTATTATTATCATTCCTTTTTTTTTTTTCCCCAATTTCAGTTAGCTTAATCAACAAGGCTAGAGGCCCCTAATCCCCACCATAGGCCTTGACTCAATGTGTTATTTTCAAGCAAAGCTTTTAAATAAGATTATGATTTACTTTTTACATTATTTGCTTTACATAATTGCATATTTCAAGTTGTTTAAAAGTCACACTGTGAGACTTTTCACATTCCCAAGTGAATCATTCCCACATTCCTGCACAATCTGTAAAGCTTTCTCACTTAAATAACAATGTAAACACTTTTACTACTTCTCTCATAGCTTAGGTTTGCTGGACGTGCTTTTTATTTGACTTGTAACGCTTGCTTCTCATGTATCGTGTACCGCTTACTGTTTATTTAACTTGCAACACTTTCTTTTGTCTGTCTACACTTAGAGACAGACAACCAAGCACACTCACATTCACACCTACGGACAGTTTAGAATCACCAATTAACCTAAACATGTTTTTGAACTTGTGGAAGGAAGCCAGAGAACCCGGAGAGAACCCACGTTGCACATGTGAACTCCACACAGAAAGATCCAGGGTGTCTTCACTGGGATGCGAACCAGTGACCTTCTTGCTGCGAGGCAACGGTGCTAACCACCGAGTCACCTTGCAGCCCAATTTGAAAAATATTCATTTAAATTATTGTCTTTTATTTTGTTTAATGATGTGCGCTGACAGGAAGTGACACTCTCAGCAACTTTGTGTAACTTGACAGCTTTGGAAGTTTGAAGTTGCAGTGAGAGGATTTTCACTGTCCCCTGTTGTTTTCCATACATGGAGGCGATTTGAATTTACTCGAGTTATTCCGAAACACAGTTCAGTTTGCTTATTTGGGCTTTACTGAGTTAAATTTTTTATTTTATTTTTTTTAATTCTCCAAAAGCTTCATTTTATTGGCTGATCATGCCTTACCTCAGCTCCCCCTCAACATTCTGAACACTGGATACTGAAGTAGTATTTTATTTCTTGTTTTCATTATTTTTTTTTATGGTGGTTCTTGTGATATGCTATTAGAAAATTCCCTTTTGTGCAACTCGCACAGATCACATGCAAACTCCACTCAGGATGTCACGGGTGCCTCGTGTCTTATGTCATTCATTGAAACCGGTTTCAGGCAATGGATGACGTCATTCTGCTCTCAAGCTTTTGTCACTGCAGCCCTGAACTCATTAAACTGATCTACACAAAACACTGAATCATTTAAACACACTATAGTCTGCCAGCCAGCAAGTAAAAGTGTGTGTGTGTGAGTGTGTGTGAGGGGTGGGGTGTGGGGATTAAACAATGAGCACTGTAACATGTCAAGCTGTGGCATTTATGCCCTAAAGACATGGTTTTGGTGTCAGCCAGTTTGGCACACTCGCGCAAAAGATGGAAAGAACAGCATAACAGTACTATGACTGCAATGGATTGTTGAAGAGAAGAAGAAATCAGAGTCTCTAAAATGTAAGTAAACCAAGATTAGATTCGGACACCTGTTTGTAGCCTGGAGACAAATGAATCTGCTACACACGAGCCAAACAAACACAGCCTCCAGCTTTTAGAGTCGTACTTGGAGTAAGATTCTCAAAAGAAATTAATAATAAAACAATTTTAAAAAGAAATCAGACAGCCTAAAATATGCTTTTTGTCCACTTATTATTGTTGAACTCAATTTTGCTTGTTTACAATGTGATAAAACCAAACCTATCTCCTCTTTCTGCTCTAAAACTGATATCTGTCATCATGTCTGCTCGTTCTCACTACATTTTAAATTGTTGTACCTTTATTATAAATGTAATTTTCTATTTTCAAGTCTTTTTGCTTTGTATTCCATCCTGGACACTCTCCTCCATGCTGTTGTGTTCACGCTAGTATCCTAGCAACGTAGGAATGTTCCATTTGGAGGGAGTTTGGGCAAAACTAATACAACTTAATTAATAAAACTAACGTTTTGCTTGAATTACGCTTACACTGAAACATTGTAATAAACCAAAATACATTTGTATATACACACACTTAATCACCAAGATGAGCATTTGTAGCCTTTGTTTTATGTGGAGACTTCCAGACGTCCCTCTTCTTGCTGCCACTACGGAGCCCACCAGTCTTCCGCTAACAAACAGCGGGTTGTTGAAGAGGAAACTTGTAACGTAGTTTGATAATAGTGTGAAAAAACAGCACACGAACCTTTTCTGTAAGTTTCGGAGGCTGTTTATACTTTTATGTAGTCATTTTTACTTTAAGCTTTGCAGTAGCGTCTGTCTTGGTAAAAGTGAACCAACTACGAGGCTTCTTGTGAACAGACGACACCGTTAGCGGTCAAATATATGCAGAGCAACAGTTATCTTGAACGTGACAGTGCTACGTGTGTTTTTCGCCACCTAAACGTTAAATATCTACGTTAAACATGCACTTTTAATGCACATTTTGGTGTCTTATCTCACTGGCTGGAACGTAAGAGCCTTTTATGTCCGTTTTTTTCCCCTTTTCTCCCTAATCAAGCCACCGCAGTCACACAGGTACCAGGTGTTCCGCAGCTAATTAAAGTTAATTGAAATCAGCTGTTATCGGTTTACAGGTAGAGCTTTATTTTTAAGTTGTAGAAGAATGGAAGTCGTGTATATCCCTATTTTTGGTGAATTTAACAGGAGAGTACTATATCAAATAAATTACAGCTTAATTAAATATATTTGACTGTCACTTGATAAACAAAATAAATTCACAATTTTCTTGGTCCTGCATTAAGAAAATAAAATAAAATGTGACCATATAAACAGCTACTCAAAGGTCATTTTCAATTATTTTTATTTTCTCTTTGAATTCTTTGAATTATAAACAAAAAACTTTAATTAGTATGTCGTCTCTGCAAGAGTAGATAACACTCCAGAAAAACAACAGCTCTTATCATACAGCTAAGGCAATAATTACTGTTTGATTAGTTTTGTGTCTCATATCTCTCACCTCCTTCAAATATCATAATAATTATAACTTTTGGCGTCTTGTCTCTTTTCCACAACAGATGGAGAACTTCATCCTCTATGAGGAGCTCGGGGCAGGACGCAACTCTGTTGTCTATAAGGGACGAAAGAAGGGAAGTCTCAACTATGTGGCCATCGTCTGCACAGACAAAGCCAAGAGGACTGAGATCACTAACCATGTGGGATCATGTTTTAAACTTACAAACTTGTTAAGATGTCTGATGCATTTTCATTATTCTAAGCCTGTAATTACAAACTATACAATAACAGTTTAAATGCAAAAAGCTATCTTTTAGACATCAGCACTTTGGATCCTTTGTGTAATTCAAATTAAATGAATTCTAAGATCGTGTAGTTAAGAAAAATACTCACTGTATACATATGTTTTGTTTCTCTTTCCTGTTAGGTACGACTCAGCCGTGATCTAGATCATCCCAATATAGTATCCTTCTATGAGTGGTATGAGACAAGTAGCCACCTCTGGTTGGTAGTGGAGCTCTGTACAGGTCAGTATTTTTTTTTCTGGCAGTCATGACACGCAGTCAGATACCATTAGATGTAAAAACTTAATGCTGGTTTTCAGCCAGCACTGTATATGGACTGAGTAATGCAACTAACAGGTCAAAAGGTTTTAGAGATAGTATATACCCTTTATAATCATTTTTTTCCTCTATTATTCACACATATTCAGTATGTATACTTAATTGATTGCTGTTTTTTTGCAACAGGTATCAACCTTGGTCTGAATATTTTCGTCCCTCTTATGCTAGCTTCTTTCTTTTCTCTGTGCTCATATTAGGTGGTTCCCTCGAGTCTGTAATTGTTCACGATGGAAGTCTGTCCGAAGATGTGGTGAGAAGGTTTGGATGGGACTTGGTTAAAGGACTAAAATACATCCATGAATTAGGAATCATTTTATCTGACCTGACCCCTGCTAAGGTTTGCATCTGCATTCATATGTATGTAAGACTAAAAGTTAAACAGCAATATTATAATGATTGTATAAACACAATATTTCTCCTTATGCTACCCACAGGTTCTACTAGATGGCAGTAGCATTCTGAAGTTTGGGAACTTCTGTCTGTCCAAGGCAGATGGAGAGACATTGGAGGAATTTTTTGCCTTGCTTTCTACGTCTGTAGAGACAGGGGGAGAAGACAGTGAAGAGAACTTTGACGACCTGAGGAAGCAATTACAAGGTCAGATGTCTACTTTTAATCTTGCCAGTTCTGTATACCTTTAAATGTTGATTAATGGAGAAACTGAATTCATTAATTAGGGCACAGTCTACAACGAAAGTGTGCACACGTCTATGCAATATCATCTAAATGTCAAATAATTGAAAATTGCACCAGCAACTGATTGTTATTATTTCTAAGTTGACAAGATGAGTGTATTAGTGTATTATCTTGTGAACAATCAAAAACAAATTATTTAGAAAGATTGCATTGAAAATAGAAAGTATAAACTCAACAACAAAAGTGAATACACGAAGGCTCAACGACACACAAGTGTAAAACAAAATGGCACACAATTAGTAATTAGCCTGATTGCCTACACATGGTTTTAAAATGACCTTTGTACACCAGAATTTTCGAAATTTTGGACCTTTGTGTTGTGTCTATCTGTGTTTCTACATCATGGCTCCACATAGAAAAGAGCAGAAAAATGTGAAATTTGTATCTTCCTGTACCAATCATTGTCAAGCCTCTTGGATATGCTTTTGTGTTTGAGCGCTTTCCTTCTCAGCTGAAAAATAAGAGTCACTCCACAATTTCTCTTCTGTAACAAATAACAAAAAGATAAGTCATAAGATGAGCTATAGCACCACAAGTCAGAGTTGTAATGGCCGTCCTCATCACAGACCATGTGCTATTTGAAAAATCTAACTTTATTGAACTGATGGGCAAGTGCTTCAAGCTTAGCACAGGGGCTTTACTGGAAATTATAATTTTTGTGATGGCTCAGAGAGAGTGAAAGATTGTATGTAATGTCAACGTCTATAGCCAAAACCTAGCCAGGGCTACCACAGTGAATGCATAGTCCTGAGAGTGAAGCACAAAGGTGGGAGTTTAATTATTTGGGGCTACATGAGTGCAAAACTTGTGAGGGATGTGACACAAAGTATTGAAAATTCAGTAAGGAAAGGTCTCCTGACCTTTGTTGCACTGAGCCCCTACAGTGGGACCTACATTTTAATATGGTTTAAATGTAGTAACTCTAAGTAGTGTTTTAGATTTTACATACAAACAAATACGCTAATGGTAACTGTGTAAATTGTACAATTATGATTAGATGTTACAATTCTGTATCGTTTAACACTGAAGTGATTTTGCACTCACTTCTGTTTTATACTTTTTGTGCTGGGTATGCAACAACAGGAGATGTATTTCACTTCACACAAACAGCTCATTCACAGGTGAATAAATGGCATAAGGCAGAGGAGGGAGTAGCTGTTGTAGTGATGACATCAGAAACTAAAACATTTCATACGTTGTGGAGCATGCATATTCCAAGAGAACTTAATGACCTAAAGAAGCTAACTTTTAATCAGTAATTTAAATACTTTGTTCGATATTATATTATTTGATTGTCTGATTGTCCTCTTGTAGTATATATATATATATTTTTTAATGCTATATGAACATGTATGTATATTTTCAGGTTCTCCGACTTATAGTGCTCCAGAGGTTTTGCAGGGATCAGAAACCAGTATGAGCTCAGATCTCTGGGCTCTTGGTTGTGTGCTCTACTACATGTATACAGGTAACCACACACACCTACACACACACACACACACACACACACACACACACACACACACACACACTCAAATGTACATTGTTTTAACATGTACTATATACTTAATACTAACATTCACCTCAACATACTATGCTATGCTTTGCTATGCTATGCTATGCTATGCTATGCTATGCTATGCTATGCTATGCTGTGTTATGTTTTGTTTCCCAGGTAAACCTCCCTTCTGCTCTGATAACCACACTGAACTCACAGAGATGATTTTGCATCAGGATCCACCACCTCTCAGACAGACAGGTGATAGACACTTCCTTATAATCTCACACACATACACAAGCTTGCACACATACACTCATATGCAGATGTCATATTATACAGTTATTTTTTATTACATTTTAGCAAAACAAGTGCTGGAATCTCTAAAATACCTTTCAAAAGGCAACTTTGCCTTGAAAGTTCTGATAATAGAGTCGTTTTTTGTTATGATTGAAGCTATCTTCTGTGTTGTTTGTTACAGTGTTTTCTATAGACCCTCCCAGCCAGGACTTCCAGAGTCTTCTGAAGGGCTTGCTCAACAAAAATCCAGACAAGAGGTCAAGTTCCTAGACACAGGCCTAGCAAACAGTATTCTGCTCATGCTGTTACTGTTATCATAACATTTATCAGGGCTGGAACTCTTGCTTGCAGTTTAATTTGATCACCATTGCTATATGACATCCATATGTCAATTTAAAATTATACGGATCACGTTAGAGTTTGTTACTCATTTGTCACCATGAAGGGAAAGGTCATTGTCAGCAGCAATACTCAGATTAACAGTGACAGTCAAACTCTGCCGATAATATTGAGATGCCTGAGGTATGCCAAGAAAATATTCTCCACACCATTACATCATCACTACCAGCCTGGACTGATTGAAGACAGGTTGGAGGCATGGATTAATGCCGACGAAACCAAATTCTGACCTGACCATCCGCATGCCTCAGCAGAAATAGAGATTCATCGGATCAGACTACATTTTTCCAGTCTCTAGCTGTCCAATTTTTGTGAGACTGTGCCCACAGCAGCCTCAGATTTCTGCACTCGGCTGATTGGAGTGGAACGTGACATGATCCTCTGCTGCTGTAGCCCATCCGCCTCAAGGTTGGATGTGCTGTGCATTCTGAGATGCTTTTCTGCTCACCCCACAGTGGTTATCTGAGTTACCGTAGCTTTTATGTCAGCTCGAAACAGTTTGGCCATTCTCCATTGACTTTTCCCATTAACAAGGCATGGCTGTTCACAGAACTGCTGCTCACTGGATGTTTTTGTTGTTTGCTCCATTCTGAGTAAACTCTAGAGACCAACAGTTACAGAAATACTCAAACAGCCTGCCTGGCACCAAAAATCATGCTATGGTCAGAATAACTGAGGTCACATTTTTTTTTCCATTCTGGTGTTTGGCATTTAGCAATTTCCCTGAGGTCTTTTACCGAAGGGATCAATAAAGTTTAATTCTAATTCTAATGTACATTATACTGATGCCCTAAACCTATGTCTGCATTATTTTATGCATTACACTGCTGCTTCATGATTAGGTGATATTTAAATGAATTAGCAGGTTTGCAAGTTTTCATAATACAGCGCTAAATTAGTGCACGTAATCCTAAAGGCCCTGTATGATGAAAAATAAGTTTTCAGCCTTGTGAACATGCTGAAGGATGCAACAGTGTAAAGTTACATCAAAGCCATTTAAGGCATGAGGGGATTATTTCCATGTAAAAAAAAAAGAAAAAAAAGTCTTAATTTGTAACTTTGATACCCAGAAGTTGGACTTTAACATGGAAATGCCATAGATGTTGCTGTTGTGTATTATTTCTTTCCCACGCTAAATAGTATTTTTTTTGTTAAGTTAATTAACTGTAGTAGCTTTTATCTTATACTGCACAAAAAAAGTTTCAATAATAAAGCAAGTGTAGCTCTTGAGTCAATGCTACATGGTTTCTCAGACAATAAAATTTAGAAGTTTTGAATTGAATACTTGTAAAAACTGCTACTTCTTCTGCATGTTGGCTTAGTGTCATTTTTCTGTGTCGTAATGTTAACTTTTGTTATTTTTCTTTGTCAGGATGGACTGGCCAGAGTTGCTGGATCACACATTTTGGACACAGGTACTAAAAGAAGAAGAGGATGATGAAGAAGAGGAGGATGAAGAAGGAGAGGAGGAGGGGGAAAGCCTTAATTTAAGGTGTGTTGATTTATTATTTCTCTTCACTTTAAAGTTTTCAATTCAATAGCACAAGATACAACCTGCAGAATTACTGTTAGAGGTCATTAAACAGGTCAGATGCTTCATTGTTGATTTTCCCTAATAGTTATTTTTTTAAAATTTGTGTTTTTACCTTCACAGACACACAGGGACATATGGCTTTTTTCCTCCAGGACAGACAGACAGTCTTCCCAACAGCCATTCCACTCAGCCGCCCTGTAGGGTTTCTAAAAAACTAATCTCATCACATGCAACAACTGACAGACCATCTGAAAGAGCCACTGGTGGCCAACAGTCTGTCAAACACATATCCTGTGGAGCCTTAAGGAACAGCCAGAGCTTGGGTAAGGAGGTGGGAAAGGAGAGAAGAGGAGAGAGGGAGGCAAACACTGAAGATGACCTCAAGCTCAGTGGAACTCAGCAAATGTGCCACACTCTGCAGTGCAATAAGTCATTCACACGAGGTAACAGATTCCCTTATGTTTGTCTTTGGTTATGCTTTTCTGGTTTAACTTTGGCATTGAAGTGTAATGCTTGACAAAAACACACTATGTAATTTTGAAATGTTATATTCTGGTTGGTACCAGTATGAATTTGAATATGTAATTGCACGTCGTGTATGTGTGAAGGGTTTCTCATTGGGCATTATGCATGGTTCATACCTCTACCAAGGCAGTTTCTCAGCAGCAGCACTAAAACCAAAAAATATATATATTTTCTAAGTTATATGTAGTAAGTTTGTTATTCCTTGTTCACCTTATTTCTCTCTCCAGCTGTTGTAATCTAGTTTTCTAGATATAAGCCAATTTCCATCGCTTTCTTTTCAATGGCAAACACTTGGAATTTCTTGCTGTTTGCCCTAGTCCTTACTGTGTAGACCCCATACCTGATTGAAATGTTTGCTCCATCTTTCACCAAGGCATGTGTCTCAGCTATTTGTGTCATAATGCAGCCTAGAAAACAAATCTGATTTAGTAAATTATGTGCTTTCTTCTCCAGATAATGTGTCAGAGCTCAGACCAAAGAGTGGTGTTGATGAGGACAACACTGAGGCCATTTTTCTACTCAGGTATTCCATTCAATCTGACTGTTTGCTGACAGTCACAGAGTTATACCTGTTTTACCAGGATAGTCAACCTGTTTTACGAAGTAAGCTAGTTACTCTGTCAAGGTCAGAGCCACACTTGAGATATGTTTTTAATTGTCTTTTGCTTCTTTGGCTATCAGCAGGATTAAGCAAAAACTAATCGGTTGAATTTCATTAAACATGATGGAGACACGAAGAATGGGCAATGGAACAGTTGATTAAATTTTGTTGTGGATCTGAACCACTTTATTCACAATTATGAGACAGAGCTTTGGCCTTGGTTTAAGACTGTGCTGCCCGATTGCCCTCCTAGCCGTTGATGTCTTCTTCATGAGGAAGCATCTAATATAAATGTATTTCAAAAGAGTTGCATTTAAGCTATACTTCACTGAAACTCTAATCCTGTGCACATACCTACAAATGTTCTATGAGCAGGTTATCAGTATACGAGATGTCATTTTAGCATGAGTGACCTTGCTGGTACTTCGGAGTCTGTTCAGTGCCGTGCTGTTACAAACTAAGCCACAGGAGACCAGATTCTTCTCTTCCTTTTGCTTTTCCAGCTCCTGTGCGAACTCAAGACGGAGCTGCAGTACGTCAGATTCTCCGAACCAGAACCCGGCACCTCAGGTTAGTGTGTGTGTGTGTATGTGTTTGTGTGGATACATATGGGTTTTTTTTTTCTTCATTTTTTATGTCTTTCGCTGAGGTTGACTTCTCTTGCCCTCTCTCTTTCATGTCCCCTCCTCCCAGGCCAATAATGCCACCAACATCACATGCTGTGTGAAGGATCTTCTTCATACTGACTCTGATCTGACTGTCACCCCAATTATTGACAACCCCAAGGTACAAACATACAGTTATGTTGCACACAGGCAAGTTCTTATTTTCAACCCTATTACACAATGACTGTGTAGAATCTAAACAATATATTCAGCCAAATATTATTGCTGGAAAGGAGAGAACATGGCTACAAAGAAATTGAGACATCTTAGACCGAAGTTGACTTTGTGGTTTTCTTTGACTATTTATCAGATTCTCAAGAGTACTCCTGTGCGATTTGATCCTAAAACCCTTTGTGTACCGGCATATTCAGGTACGCTTTTTGAGTTTTATCAAGTAGGTCAGTGTTATGCGGGTGATAAAGAGGATCTTAGTATGTGGTCATTGGCCCCAGTTTATCTTGGAGCTAAATTTCTCCTCCACAACCTTTTCCAGTTGACAAGCTGCAGTCTCTGAGTGACGAAGAGTGGACTGTCTTCCTGTCACAGCTCTGTTCATCCCTCGAAGAACAGAATCCCTCCACTCCTCTGTTCTCGTCCAGTGTGCCTTCCTCCACAGCCATTCGATCCAGACTCAACCTGCTGTGCTACCTTTGCTGTGTGGTTGGACATAACGTTATTGCAAACAGGCTGATTAACTCAAAACTGGTAGGAAAATATGTATTTATTTTGGTTCCCTCTTGGAATATTGTCTGCTGGCTGATTTTAATTAGCATAACTATGTAATTGTGCAATTTGACAAAATATTTAAGATCTTAACACTGCATGACGGTGTATGGGTCCTACCTGTCTGCTGTGTAAAGCTTAGGTTGTAAAATTTAGACCTATTTATAAGAAGATATGGATTTTGTTTTCTCCATTCTGTTTGTTTTTTGCCCTCCTTGTGCTCCCTGTGTGACACATTTGCCAGCCATTTGTTTCCCCTGTCAGCAAAGAGCTTCACTAGGAAGATGTAAGCGTGAAGTTCTTTCTGTTGCTCCCAGCTAGTCATTAGTCAAGTGGGAGTCATTAGTAATGTGCAGGGACAGTCTCAGAATTATTCAGACCTGAAAAAGAACTTCTCTTTCGTCTGACTTTGAGCATGGAATATGCCAGAACATATGAATTCTGAACATATTCAGAATTTATTTAAAACATAAAAAATAACTAATAATTTTTTGTATTTTTTTCAAGACATATCAGTACTGATACAACATGACAGTCATTGTTTTGTCCATACTACTCATTTGTTCTACTCACCCAGAAGACCTTAAACATGTACAGTAGTTTTTCTCAAGTGTTCAATACTGTCTGGTAAACAATCTTATTCAAAGTCATACTAAACCCGGAGCCGATGTTTTGTTCTCATATATCCTCATTTATTGCAGATTAGATTATTAGTCTTGTTTGGCTTTCTTCTTATTCTCCCTGTTTCTTCAATCGCTTTCTTCCCTTGTTCAGCTTCTGGTGTTGACCCAACAGTTGCGACATGCTCCTAACTGGGATGTGTAAGTACATTATCAATGTATTTGCTTTCTAGGAAACATGATTGCATGGTTTTCTTTATTTTTTTTTAACCTGCAGAAATGTTGGACAATGGGTTACTACCAACACATCATATGTGGCAGAACCTCAATATTATAGAAAGCTTATAGGCTAAAAAGGACAGAATAGTCTTTTGTTGGTATAAATCATCAGGACTATAATGCACTTGTAGGACAACTCACCTTTGAGTATGTGTCCGTACTTACTCTACTTCTGTTGCTCTCTTTTTCTCCAACCCTCCTTTTTACAGCTCTTAAAATCCTGTGATAGTGTTTCCATTAACACAAACACATACGTTTATCAGTGTCTGTGAAAGTTGAAAGAAAGCAGGTGTTTACAGACTTCTTGTGCTTTTTGTTTTGTTTCCAGGTTACCAGCTTTATTCGTGTATTTGCTTGTATCAGATCGGTTGCCAGTTTTAGAATTTTAATGATCGGAAACGCTGTTTTTAGAAAGTTGATAAACAAATTGAAAATCAGCACATTTTTATTAATTTAACATGAACAATGTTTTACAGACGGAACAAGGTTCTCAGAGTGATGGGACTACTGGCTCTGCACTGTAGTGACCTTGGAGAGGACAGCCCTGTTTCTGAGGTCTGGAACACACACAAACACACAGTCATGTTTCATGTTGTGAATATTACACTGACTTAAATTAACTTCCTGGAGACATACATTAACCCTCGTGGCTAGTAAAGGGGTATTGTAGAAATAGCACAAAAAAATTCATTCATTCATTCAAAAAAAATCTGTCATCCTTTTTACTACTAAACAACGGGCTAAATGATTAAAGTCATATTAAAGTGAAACAATTAAAACCTACATTTAAACCTCAGACCTGCAATACCAGTTTGCACCAGCATGTGGCAGGCAATACCAGATTACCAATACCATCCATTATCTATACACCGCTTAATCCTCACTAGGGTCGTGGGGGGGGCTGGAGCCTATCCCAGCTGACTTAAGGCGAAGGCAGGGGACACCCTGGACAGGTCGCCAGTCTATCACAGGGCTACACTTAGAGACAGACAACCAAGCACACTCACATTCACACCTACGGACAATTTAGAATCACCAATTAACCTCAACATGTTTTTGGACTGTGGGAGGAAGCCGGAGAACCCGGAGAGAACCTGTGCTGCACGGGGAGAACATGCAAACTCCACGCAGAAAGATTCCGGTGTCTCCACCGGGACGCGAACCGGTAACCTTCTTGCTGCGAGGCAACAGTGCTAACCAACTGTGCCACCTTGCAGCCCCAGAAGGAGCTCACCATATACAAATAATATTAAGTAAAAATGAGTATTTACTCATGAGAACATCCATAAACCATAAGAACAATGAGTGCAATGGTGCATGCACTATGCACAGTGGATTCTTTATTTACTGTAAGTCCTGCTTGATGTTACAGTGTATATCTTTGATTTGTTTTTGTAGTTTTATCGATGTGCAGTTTTTACTATGACATTATTCCTGCTTTTGTTCTGTTTTGGGTCATATCACCAATAGTCAAAATTTCTAGTTCATTGAGGAAAAATCTGCCCTAAATCAAGATGTGGGCTGGAATCGTTATTCTGTCCACTTTAACTTTTTAGTACCAGTGTGCACCAGCTGGTGGCATTAAAAACCTACCAGACAACAGCCTGAGAGACACTGAAAAACACCACACTGACTCTGTTTGTCTCTGACTCTCTCTCTCACACACACACACACACACAGAAACATCCTGCTGGCTTTCACTAGGTTGTTTCTTATATTTATATATTATTGGTTATAATATTACAATTTGGGTTGCAATAGCTTATTGTTTAGAATCAAGAGTTCCATATGACAATGCAAAATACAACTACATGTGATTATATTTCAACTCTAACTTTTGCAATAACTGTGTACAGGTCTTCACAGCTTTTTCTGAAATGTAGTTTTTATTTGTGCTTTGATTTGTTGATGTGCATGTAATGTGTGATGGAATCGATTGCATTATAAAGAGCAGTGTTTCTGTTAATATAAATGGGGTAGCCAAAATAATAGAAACATCCGACAGTATAAAACACAGTTCAAGAGTGTGTACCTAAACATTACCATACAGTTGAATCAACAACTTTGAAACAACTTCAACAAAAAGTCAACATTATAACATTCATGAAGGCAAGATTTAATGCAAGCATTTTGTTTCAGAATGCATTAGTTTTATCTAACAAACTGGCAACTGAGTATAGAAAGCTACATCACTAAATTCCCATAATCATCAAAGTGCTGTAAGGTAATAGGACACACTTGTCTACACACATATTTTCCTTGACAGAGACACACACTACTCAGCCGTCCTCAATACACGCAGGCACAAACAAAGCTGTGCTGAACTAATTCAATGTAAAAGCAGTTTTGAATGGAGGTGAGACCTGGAGCTGCTCTCCGTTATTTGATCTATTCATCCTTAACAGAACTTTTTTCCTGTTCCTCTTTTTTTTCCCCACCTTCTCCCCAGTCTTTTTTGTCTCGTCTTCTGTTTGATCACATCTGTTTATACCAAGCGAAATCCATTCTGGTGCCTGTAATTCTTATCCCACATCTGCTCCCGTTCTCCCGTTTTTTTTGTTTTTTTTCCCCCCTCTTTTTCCACTTGTTCTGGCACTTTACTGCTTCTGAGTCGTCACGGCGATTTACAAAATGGCCGACTTTGCCATAGCAGTGTTTTTTCGGCGCGCTTGTTGTTAAAGACAAATGGCGGAACATTTTTTTCCGATTCTCTCCTTACCTCCTTTCAATTACCATAGAATGACAAATTGTTAAGAAAGGGACAAAGATATGCGTTTGTGCCAGTGTATCTTTGAGTGTCTGCTTGTGTCCATGGTCATGTGTGGGTCCATCTATGTGCTCAGCAGGGGTCCTGTGTGTGTGTGTGTGTGTGTGCGCGCACGCGTGTGTGTGTGTGTGTGTGTGCGTGCGTGTGCGTTTGTGAGTGTGCTTGGCTTTTTTTGAACCATGTTTGTGTGAGCACTCAGCAGGGGTCCTGTGTATGTAGTTTCCTGTGTCTGTGTTTGTGCCTGCAAATGCTCTGTGTTTGTGTGTATCCGTATGCTATAGTGACGCTAACAGATGACCAATAAAACAGCACATATTTGCATTTTCTTCTGGTGTGTGTGTGTGTGTGTGTGTGTGTGTGTGTTGTCTCAGCAGGGGTTCTCTTGCTGCAGTCCTGCTGATCGGCGTGTTAGGGCTGGGCTTAGTTACCATGGTAACTGCTATATGCTTCGATCAACCCCAACACACACATTCACACACATACATGAGACACCTGTCTGTCTCTGTATCTCTTCTTGTCTCACACTCTGCTTTCTTTCTGTCCTGTTCCTTTTGCCTTTATCTCTCTCTACTGAGTCTGTCTTTGTCCCTCACTTCTTGTATAGAATCGTATGAGAATAAAATTTTCTGGGTTAATGTTCCTAACGCAAGCTTGCTGCCTTTTTTATGCAATATTTGGAAGCTGTGCTTTCAAAACCAACTACATATGATTTTCCCCTTCACTTATCATCACTTACAAAGTTTTCTGTGGCTTTACCAGGGGTTTAACCACTAAAGCTTCCACTGTGCAGGGTGTTTCATGGGGATATTGAGTCTTAATGCATTTTAAAAGCTCAGAGCAATCTTTAGGAACACACATTCAGAGGATATTGGCTCCAGAAAGACACTACTGAAAGCATTTTGAAAGCCTCTTGCAAGGAAGAGATGATAGTTTGAACCACCTGTGTTGTGTAATTAGCATAATTCTATAACTTTAGATTTTAAAGAATCACAGTGGAGTCTAGATTAGGACTGTGTAGTTTTCTGGATATATCCTCTCTTAAAGCCTGAGCTACTCTACATCTAACATGTTTGATTAAATGATGAAACTGCTAAAATGCAATATATTCTTTTCATATTTGAACCATGCATTTGCTTTCTTGTATTTTGTTTTTTGTTTACATTTGGTATACATTACGTCATATCTGCCATGGGACACTTCAAAACACATATATTACACACGTGTCAATCTTGGGTTACCTCGGTGAAAAGCTAGCATGTAAATTTCGGAACTTAAGCAAATTTAGGTGGAAAGCTGGGTGCTTGAAGATAAGAAGGTTACCCCTTACTGCAACACTGCTTAATATGCCAGTCTCTTCTCTCACCTTAACTCGTATTACCTGTACAGACTCATATTACCTGTAAAGTCTTTGCATTTTTTTCTTTCTAAGACCAATAATCCACCAAGCTCTTCTCTATATTTTTTCTTTTCACATCACCCTGTCCCAAGTGTAGATGAACAACAACTGTGTCATTTTAGTGTGTGTATATGCAAAATGTCTGTGCACTGGGTTGAGTTGTCTTTTTATTCTCTGTCACTAGTGTGGTGCTGTTTATGCATGTTAATTAAGTGCATATGTTTATGTTTCCTCGTGTGCATTCGTGTGCACTGTTTGATCTGAGGTGTTGATGCCGAGATAATGATAATGCGTTGGAATAGTTTTGTGTTTGCTTTTCCTTCTGGCTTGATGCACAGCAAAACCTTTTAGCACCCTCTGCCTGAGAGGAGCTGCATGGCCAGTTTCTAACGCAACTCAGAATCTCAGTTTAACCCTCACATGCCATTTATATATGAGTTGTTTCAGTTCAGATACGGCGTAAAGGAGAACAGAGAGCAAAAAATGTATTTTAACAATGTAACGTTAAAAAAAATAAAAATAAAAAAAAAAAAATAAATAAAAATCTTACTTGCTTCTGGTCTAGTGGCAAAGTATATTGGTAATAATTCTCAGCTCTAACATTCCACTAATAAACTGATTATGTCTCAGCAGAGATGTCTCAGCATGACAATACAACCCAATTCCACAGGCAAACATAAAAAGAAAGACTAACTCTTTTGTGAAAGGAACGGATATGTTGAAAGAGAACATGACAGACTGTTAGCACTTCCTAACCCTAACATAGACACAGAGACGGGAGGTGAGAGACAGTGAAAGCAAACCAATGTGAGAAAAGATAAAGGTGAGAGACGGGCAGAGTTAGCGACATGGTATACATAAATAGCAAACAAATCAGTAGAACAGAAGGCGAGAATACAGAAGCAGACAGAAAAAACTGTAGAAGAAGGAGAGAGTGAAAAGAGAAGGCTGAAAAAGAAAAGGTGGAGAAGAGAGTGTGAATGATAGAGGGATGAGGTAGAACTTGCATCAGATCACAGAAGGGGGAAGCTGGCGCTAATGCTAATTCCAGGAAGCAGCCAGCCAGCAAGGCTGTCTCTGCATATACTTAAATCTGTGTGTGTTTGCATGTGTAATTATGATGTGCATTTCTTATAGGTACATATATTATTTTTTTGTATCTTGTTATATATGTGCATAGTTAATGTTCCTAATACACCTGTGTGTTACTGCATACTGTAAATACATATGTGTGTCCTTTATCATGCATTACATTTTGTGTGTGTGTGTATTTTAGTGGTTTTAAGTGAGATTATTGTTTCCTTTGTTTGTTTTATGCCGCGGTTATTGTACTTTGCTTCACAGTAGTGTAGTGTCTTAGGGTGCAGTCAGGCTCCTCATTGCCAAGTCAGCCTTATCTTACTTGAGTTTACACCAGACTAAAGCCCTCTGAAACTTGGCCAAAATGTGAAGATGACTGCAGAGCATTGTCAAGCATGAGCTGATGTTTCTGGGTCATATACTTAGCCGTAGTCCTGCATTACAAATTACATCACATTGTTTCTCCATGTACTGCTGTATTCTGGGACTACACATGAAGGCCTAATGCCTTTGTGACACTATAAAGTATACCTGAAAGAGCTGTTGGTTGAACATTTTCTTGTACATTTTTGGTTTTATAGAGCATGAAGTCAGTTCTCTAATTTAATATTTTGTCATTCGATTTAGCAACATTTAAACAGAGGTGCTGATGAAACTGAAACTGTCTTACTCTCTTTCCAGGCTGTGTCCACTCTGACAGACCTGCTGAAGGAAAATCTGAAGAATAGTAAAATAAAGCAGTTCCTGCTTCCACCACTCGGGGAGTTCCTCTACCTCATCTCCTCTCAGGTACTCACTGCAAGTTGGAAGACAATGTGAAGAGACACATTTAATGAGACAGAAATACTACAGTTAATTGGTCTAAAGGAAACTGGCTCCAGGTACATAATATACAAGTGAAAAATGGGGGTACATGCACATTTGCTTGCAGGCCCAGAAAGGGCCTTGGGTTACTTAATTTGGCAATTTGCCATTAAGCTGAACAAAATACAAGAAATCAGTGGCTGCTGATTTTAATCAAATATATTTTCTGTAATTAGTGATCTGTAGTGATATTATTAAGAAAAATTTCAAACAAGGTATGTTTTTTCTACAGCATCCTAGTCACTCCATATCAGACATGACATTTGTATGATCAAAAAAAAAAATGCTTATTTGTTGATATCATTACAAGCTGTGAAAAATACCATTTAAAAACAATGATTCACTTGCTGTGCACGTGGCTAACACAAGTTTATACAATGGTAGACTGAGTCCATAGACTGTATTAGTAAGTAAAAGAAGGACGTAGACATGCTGATGTTACCCACTGGTTTGTGGACTGCAATGCTTTCTTGTTGTAGTTTGCCATTTGGCTGTCACCATTTACTCTTTGTATATGGGGCCATAATTTACAAAATGAAAATTAGTGAAGCTTTAAAACAGCAAAAGAGACCACAAACTCATTAGGAAAAAATTTACTGAGGTGACAGATTGAAGGAAAAGTCAAAGAATTTTTATGCTTTTTTTCTGCAGTCTGACTTCTTTTTGCAACCAGAGAAGCCGCCCCCTCTAGCCATTAGAAAGAATGCAGTATTGGCTTCACTTTTCAGACATGGAGGCCATATCAAACTTTTCTATACAGTCAAAGACACACTGTAAAGATGCTCACCTCACATTTGTTCTGCAAGTATTGAGCAAACTACTCTTAAAGGCCCCATATTGTTCCCCTTTTCGGCAAATTATTAAAAGTCCTACAGATCCTCAGAATGTCTTTAAACTTTTCAGCTTAAAACCCTGCAAAGATGGTTAATTTCTTATAGCTGTACAACCCCTGGTTTTAGCCATATTCCAAATGGTCCATAGCTTTAAATATAGTTGATCTGAATGAGTGTATAAAGACCAAGACTTTCAACTGCATCTAACTTTCTCTCCAGTGATCACTGTACATGTAAACATAGTCTAATTCTCTCACTTGTGGGTATACAGTGGTAATGTTAGCACATTGACAGTGCAAGGTGCTAACACCAAGGATTTTTCAGTTGGTGTGGGAACATTGCTGTCTAATAAATATAAGTAATACACTGGGCATTTAGTTCCTCAGATGATGAGAGTGCATGGACACTGTTGTGCTCACTCTTATCACGCCCACTTGGCGCACTTTGCACCTGGCTGTGACATTTTTGAGTTACAGTTAACATTAGCAGTGCTAGAAAGTAAATACACCTGGTGGACTGCAAGCATTCTGAATGGCTCACTTTGGAAGCAGCTGACAGCTAGGGGACAAAATTATGTAAATCTTTACCTGGTCAACTACTGTTTATCAAGTTTCTACATAACTACTGGATGAATCCGTACTGGCTTGTAAAGCTGGGAGGCTGTCTAGCTGAGGAGGGGATAGAGGAATGGCAGTGGTAAGCATGCTCATATTGTCACAGCTTTTAGTTTACAGCTCCAAGTTTAGAAAACATACAAAACAAAATAAATACATTTTTTCACCATATGGGACCTTTTAAAAAAACTAGCCCATAATATTTCTTTGTATTGTATTCACCCTATACTGTACTTCTGAGCCAGTAAGGCTCTTCCAAAGGGTGGCTAAATGTTAATAGTAAAATTCACCTGTCATACCACAATGCTAGAAAGATCAAAGGGCATTTTCTTTTTGCTTTAGTGAAAAAGAGCTATCTTGAGTGAAATGAATGAAACTGAGTCCTCTGTCATCAGATGATGGAGTTTAAATTTACATGCTAACTAGATTGAATTGAAAGGGAATTGACCCCCATCCCTGAAAATTACAAGAGAGAGAGTGGAGGAGGCCTCGTTTGACTTCATTAGAAAGGGTGACGCCAATTTATGTCTGGTTAACCTCGATCTAGCCAGGCAAGTCAATTAAGCACAAGATTTTTATTTACACGACTCATGGATAACCTTCAAAAATCAATCAGTCCGCCTGATTACACTTATTACTCTCCTGAAGCCATAGAAAATCTCTGTGTAGAATCTCCTAATAAATAGACTTTTCAGGTCCTGCAAGCGTTGTTTTTCAACCAATAGCAGTGTCATAATCGCTTGAGACCATCAAAGATCCAGCACACTGAAAGTGCAAATTGTTATCATTTAGTTAAATAATACACATAATACACACACACACACACTGGTTTAGGAAGACATTAGATGTAACAGAGTAAATGAGACTTTAATTGAGGAGTAATGGAGAATTTATCTCAATATAGCAATAGCTGCAAACCATTAGATATATTTGTGCCTCATGAGTAAAATCAAAATGGCATTATTTCCAAACAGCCAAGATTTTGTGCATGTCTCTTCTCTCCCTGCTCCAGAGAAATCAGTGTATGTTCAACAATTGTAATGTTTTGCTCTTAGGTATGCCCAAAAAGTCCATAATAGAACTATCACTTGTAGAGAAAGCTGAAGGACAGAAGAGCACATTACTTGTGTTTGGCTGTTTTAGAACAGATGGTATAAGATGTTTTCACTTGTTTATAAATATAAAAACGGACTTGCCCCTGACTGTATTATTGATATGCTGCCAAAATGCTGGTAGAGCTCTAAGAACCACAGATCCTCTGCTATTTGTTGTACGAAAAACTCAAAAGGTCTTCAGTGTGTTCAAGCTGACATGTACTGAGACAAATGTGTATCTGTTTATATGTAGCATGTACATGTCAATGATTTGCTGCAGTGCCTTGTAGGTTTTCTAGAGCTGCTCTCTTATGTTAAGCAATGGTAGTGATTAGATAGAGGTTAGTAGTGCCAACTTTGTAAGGCCAGTGTTCAGGCCAATTCATGCTTTCTGCCAGTCTGCAAGAGTCTGTGCACTCTTCTGTGACTATGCTACAGGGGAAGTAGTGCACATCCTCCATCTAGGCATAACGGACGTGCAGTTGTTGTTTTTATACTACTTTTCTAGTCCACTGAAGTCTGCTTGGTTGTACTGTCTAACATGTGCAATATTGCCCTTGTAGTATAGTCGCCACGCAGACACAAATTTTCAACCATATGCAGATGTCTGACAGTTAAATTAACATCACACAGACCCCTTGCATACTCGGGTAATATACCACTGACTCTAGAGTCCTCCCAGCGGACTCCAAACAAACTACAAAGTAGTAAAACCACAAAAACTACGTGTTAGTGGTTTCCACTGCTGTCCAGGTGTGCGTCTGCGAGTGAGTATAATCAAGGATTAGGGATCCTTGTTAGGTTTCAGATGGAGGATTGGATTCTCTAACCTTTTCTGTGTTTGATTTGCTGACAATAACTGCACAACTTTTGATGCTGGATGGGCTTCTTTGTCATCAGTTCGTTTTTGTATGGACTTTAATTTTTTTTAAATTTCTTCAGAAATGTCACTTAAGAAATGATAGCTGTACAAATCCAGTTATTTGATTTGTACAGAGTCTTTTGAGAATTATAATGAGATGGCAAGGTGGCTGTCTGGTGGGCTTTCTGGTCAGAGGATTGTACTGACTAAATTCTTTAAGACATCATTTCAATCAACAATTATAGTTGTGTTCTTTGAACAGCATCAGAGGCAGCTAAAATATTCATTTAAACCAGTTCCAATGAAAGTCCTACATAGGATGTGAAGTCTTCCTGACAGGTGGACTCACTTTGCTTGCATAATAGCAGGAAAAACATTTTATTTGAGTAATGTAGAATGGCCCTTTTAGTGTCCCCAGGTAAAATCATCTGCTTTACTCTTCTCTACTCTTCTTCTGCAGCAACAGTCAATGACAACGATTAGCTATAGCCTCCAGTGCTGTCTTTATTTCCAAGGTTAGATGTAGCCTAGAGCCTAGGACAGTAGCAATGGAACAGAGCGTTGTTTCAGAAAAAGATACAGAAATATTGGTTGAAATAATTAGAATATTGTGGAATGTAAGACAGTGCTGATTTGACACTGTGCTGTGTCAGGAAAAGAGGCACATGTTCATCATGATCAAGTGAATAAATAAAGACTTGAGCAACTGAAACTAAATTGACAATTACGATAAATAATCAAGTTATTTATCAAGCAAATACCAAACTTTTCTTAGTTTAATATAAATATATGTTAATAAAGTGGGATTTCGGACAGACAGAACATATAATTTCAAAACTGCACCATTGCCTCTAGGACATTGTGAAGGGCATTAAAAAAAAAAAAGACGATGTTCTAAAATGTTGCATACTAAAAGATGAATGGGTTATTTGTTATAATCAAAGAAAACATTGTATATATGTAACCAATTGGATTTTGAAGTAGGGTGAGTTGTGTTAATGGGGAATCTGAACCAGGATAACTTCACAATGAATTCAGTCCATTCTGCCAAGAGGTAAACAATAAATTCTTCCAACCAATAGCGGGCATTAAAATGTTCCCCCTACACAAATAAAATAAATACGTTCAGAATTTTTCTTCAGAATGTGATCGCTGAACATGTAAATAGCTGTTCCTACAAAATTGCTCACCTCTCCTATAGAACACAATTGCAAAAATGGAAAGGTAAAGGTGGGAAACAGCTTTTATAGAGGAGGGGTACTCACAAAAGTAGACACAGGGTTACAAAAATTTAATGTTGGACGTTCTGTGTGTTGACTCTGGAGGTGTAACATTATACGCTATACCTGTTTACAGTCATTTTGGGAAATTATAACACTGAATATTGTGAACATATAATTGACTCTGTTATGCAAATCTATATATGCTGAGTTTCTAAGTAAACAATTATTTTGATGAAATAAAATCGAATGAATTCCAATAGCAATAAAGTCACGTTCATGCAGAAGCATGATTACTAAGTAATCAAGATGTCTTGACTCCTCTTGCTCCCTTTTCCCCCGGCTGGCTTGGCCCTTACTTGCCCTTTTCCTCACTCCTCTCTACTTGCATCTCCTCCACTTTATCTGTCTGCCTTCCTCTCACTCCCACTCTACTCCTCCAATGCCCCCGCCCCTCTAACTGTACCCCTCCTGCTCTCTCCACTCACCCTTTCTCCCTCTCTTTTCTATGCCTCTCTATCAGGAGAAGAAGAGAGGCTCCCCAGAGGGACTGTGGTTCGTTCCCGCTGCCGCCTACACTGGCTTAATGAGGAGCCTGCGGGAAGGGGTGAGTGTCTCAGTGTATGTCTGCGTGAGTCTGTTTGTGTCTGTGTAGCTGTGACTAAGTCTCTCTCGCTGTGTGTGTGTGTGTGTTTGTGTGTGATTGTGAGTGTGTGATTGTGAGTGTGTGGCAGGGGATCCCTGTGAACAGTAATGATGAGGCAGCTGTGGGGGCCTAAAGCGTTGTTTGCCAGCTGCAAGTCAAGGGCATGCAGAGCAGTCACACACACACGCACACACACACACATACACACACACACATGCGCGCGCGCACTCGCCTGCATGCACACTCTTACCTGCATCAAACACAACCCTTTACTGCTCAGCAGCCTGACCTCAGCAGCAATTAGGACCCTCCAGACACACACATGCAGAAGATGGAGCAGAAACACAAGCGGAAACGTAGATAGCTCTTTCCTTTTTGCTGGCTTTCTCGTATTTTTCTTTTTTTTCTTTCTTTTTTCTTCTTTTTTCTTTGTTCTATCTAGTCTGTTTTCCTATTTAATTATGAAAGGTAAATTGTATAACTTTGTTTGGTCTAACGGTAAAACAAACTGACAAATAAACAGACGGGTGACATAATAAAGGAAAAACCAACATAAAGTGCCACCAGAACAGTTTCATTGCACTTTGACATTGATTCTCCAAATTCCAAGCTCTACTAGAGGTATGACCACCAATGCTTTTGAAAGATATTCCTTCACATCGTCCCAAATGACTCACATAATTTTCATTCTCACCAAACCATTTAATGACCCCTTGTTGCTCTATGGACAGGGCCATTGTCATCCTAGAAGAGACCACTCCCATTAGGATAGAAATATTTTACAAGATAGAGGTGATCATTCAGAACAACTTTGTAGTGTTTGTAGTGACCCTTCCCTCTAAGGGAACAAGTGGACTTAAGCAGTACTGTGTTAAGAAATATATAGCTCACATATTAATCCATCATGCCACTGATTAGGGGTGACTTATTTGAACTCAGTGCTTCCTAATTTAAGCAGTAAGCGCCCATGCTTCCTCCTTAATTCATTGTAAATATGGAGGAAATGTGAGTCAATATTACTTTGTTTACTTGTTTAAATTTTGATATATTGTGTTAAGCTGTGTACAGCTGAGTGCCTCCATGTCACATCATGAGGTAATTGTTGTGTTTCTCTTTGTTGTGTTCTTATATAGTGGCCCATTGCTCCTGAATGAGGAACATTTGGAGCATGGTGAGACTAAAAGATACAATGAACAGGTAGAGGTAAAGAAGGAGTTGGGTGGATGTTGTTTTGCCTCTCAGAGGCAGTAGGGGTCTTACAGTGGTGGCCCACTATAGCAGACTGTGTATAGATAAAACTGATCGGCACAGTTGTCAGTGAGTACCTACTGTTGCTTCGTTACTACTGGGAGTGTAGTCGGGGGGTAGATGAACACAGTGAGGGTGTGTGTATGTGCGTGTGCATGTGTGTGACAGGAGCAAGGAGAGGGGTGTAGGGCGGGGGGGAAGAGACGGTTGACTTATTTATCATTATTGAGCTGTGAGAGTATGCTGATGGAAACACACATACACTCCTTACACACAGCCTTAGGGACCAGACACACTCATCCTCAGACCCAACCTGCCTCACTCTCTTTCCATCTCTCCCTCTCCTCCACCCTGACTAGCTGTTTTTCTGGTAGAATTACATTTCACACTGTGTTACTGTCCAAATAGTCTAACTTTGTCTCATGGGCTTTGCATTTCCTGGAGTTAACGCAGTGATCATACTACACCATAGCTTGCCGGAGAGTCATTTAGTTTTGAATGAAAAGAGGCCCTTCAGCAAACAGACATTAAAAGCAAGCCTTTCTTCATAAAGTAATGCACTATTGCAAAAACACAAAAAAGAAGCACCTACGGCATGTGTAAATGTTTGGACACCCGCCTACTTGTAAAGCAGGAGAACTTCACTGTTGCTTTAATTGACTCACTAGAACTTCTAAAGCAGGTCAAGAATTGCTATTAGAAGCTGATTACAGTTCCAGAGCTGATACATTGTCTGACTTTTGCCTTAATGATTAACAACCATAAGCTCATCTGAGCAACTGACTGAGGATCTGACATGTGACGCCTGTAAAACAGCGTGAAGCTATGACAATTGCAGAACCTATTGCCAGCCATGCAGTTCTGAGCAAAAACACAGAGAAAAGATTTGTTAATTGTCATATTGATATCATACCCACAGCATTACAGTACAGACACCTTTCTGTGTAGTGTCAGCATCAGGGATATGTCAACCATTCTTGTAATTGCATATTATTCAAGGAAAAAGTGGAGGCTACATGTGTACAATGTAGTCATTGCAGAAACCCAATGTAGGGTATAATTAGAACATGTCAAGAAGTTAACAGAACACTAGTTAAGCAACAGTTTTGTTTTTCTTTTGTTTTTGTTTTTGTTTTTTTTGTTTATTTTTTTTTGTTTTTTTTCGGGGGGGGAGGGAGAGTTGTGCTCTCTCACTCTGTCTTTGTCTCTTGCTCAAGAATAAACTAAACTTCTATCCATCCATTATCTATACACCGCTTAATCCTCACTAGGATCGTGGGAGGCTGGAGCCTATCCCAGCTGACTTAGGGCGAAGGCAGGGGACACCCTGGACCGGTCGCCAGTCTATCAAAGGGCTATACATAGAGACCGACAACCATGCACACTCACAATCACACCTACGGACAATTTAGAACCACCAATTAACCTTGGCATGTTTTTAGACTGTGGGAGGAAGCCAGAGAACCTGGAGAGAACCCACGCTGCCCCAAACTCCACACAGACAGACCCCAGGCTCAGGCCGGGATGCGAACCAGGGATCTTGTGTGAGGTGATAGTGCTACCCGCCAAGCCATCGTGCAGCTCTGAACTAAACCTAATGCAAATAAATTTATAACAATGGAATCAAGCATACAATTCATAGGCAGGTTCTGTGCAGGACGATAACAGCAAAGCTGACAGACACTGGTGCAAGTTGCAGCAGTTCAATGAGGCAACCACCATGCAAAGGTGTAGTAAGAGGCGTGGCAAAAGGCTAAGTCTATGAAAAGATACTGAACACCTTCAGCTTGCAATATCCACTCTCTGAGGTGTCTTTGGGGAATTGCCCTTCAGATAACACTGCATCTCTGCTGAGTAGAAGGGCATAACAAACCAGGATGCTTTAGCTGATGCAGGAGTGGTGTTAGACTTCGCAATGTTGATGCACCAACGGGGTCTACAAGGAACAGTAATGAATAGTACACCTTATCTACAGACACCTCACAAAAGTCAGCATCTGAAGTACACATATTAAAGTCTGTATAGAGCACATTTCTTTTCTTTTTTGTAAACACGTGCTGTGGACAGATAGAGAAAATTGAGATCTTTGGCCACAATCACCAGATGTATGTTCATGAAAAGGGGTTGTATTTACTTCTTTTCACTTCCAAAATCAAAGGTAGAGTTTGTAGTTCTGGAGAAAGATTGTTGATGTTCAGTTAGTTATTTAGATAGATAGTATGCTATTCCTCTCACTCCCACAACACTCCTTGCCCTCATCTTACCCAGCCATGTGCACAAGCATGAATGTGTACAAGCTTGAATGTTAATTTCATATTACAGAGACAGGGCTGTGTGTGAACCCTGGATCGTTTTTTTCAGCGCACACACAGAATGGACAACGATGGGATGTGAGTAGATATTCAGTGAATTCGACAAAACGTTTATTAAATTAGAATCAGGTATTCCACCATTAACAAAATATAAAATTTGTCCAGAAATGACTGCTGTTATTTGACTTTCTCCTACAGACAAATTAAGTTTGTGCAAGGCTTTTGTTAAACTAGAAGTTAAACTTTGCGTGACAGGGTTGACCTTTGCTGGAAAAGAGAGTCAGAGAAACCAAAATAAAGGCAGCTATCAGATTAGGTGTATTGCAACACCCAATTGTAACTCCTTTCTGCCAAAGAATAAACTGCTCCATAAAAGGGGCATATTTTGTAGACAGTTGTGGGATAGAGGTCCATGATATAGTATTATAAATTATACTCTGGTTAACCACCTGGTAGTGCAAACATGTTGCCTACTAGCTTCATTTTTTTCTCTCCACCTTCAGTCCTTCACGGCTCTTGCCTCAAAATCGTCATTCCATCATTACTTATTTCACAAGGATATGCTCTAAGTGGACATTCACTCATCAGACACATGCAGCCAATACCATGGCTAAACTTTTCAGGCTTGAAACTGCAGCATATTTATAACGGTCTCAAAAGCAAAGATTCAGACTTCCAAGTTTTCATACATACCAAACCTTTGCAATCTTGCAGGGCGGGGCTTCCTAAACCATGTAGTCTTCTTCAGTACAGTTTCTGGCTCAAACACATATGGCTAAATTACTCCAATATTAAAACTTGCCATTGTGTTTTGTAAGTAGTTGTATAGTAGCTAAGCAGTCGTAGTTTGCTATTCTGCTCGAGCTGTCCTGTGTAGGGCTGGGTGAATGGAGAGAGAGAGGCGGGGACTTCAGAGAATTGCATTACTGGGAATGTTAGTTAGGTCCATCAATCGAGTTTCACTACCACAGTTGAAAACTAAAAGTTAGTCCTCCACAGTGTAGGGGATGAAAAGTTGGTAACTGTAATTTAATGTATGAAGATTGTAGATGCAGAGTAATAATCAGGGCTGGCTGATATAGCTGAAAACTTTCTCATGGTAAAATATTCATTAAAACTACTTTATTTATGGTTTTGTTTATATTTATGAAGGCACAAGAGTAATAATTTGTAAAACACAAATAGATGAACTTTGACAAATAAAATAAATGGATGCAAAGCAGTGATCTCACTGAGTAAAATCAACTTTTAGTTAAAGTGACATAACACTAATAAGATGCAATAAATAAACAAAATGTTGAAGAAACTCTTGAACTGCTCAAATAAAATGTCACAAAATGTGTAATATGTTCAGAGTTTTGTCAAGTGTTGGGGACCTGCAGGTGCCTGGATGTTAACCAG